CTTGGAGGCGTGTTTTCTCAGTAGCTTGAGCTCCTTGTTGAAGAGCTTTGGGGCCGTCTCTAATGGTGGAGGGACGGAGAATTGGTGCATGGCTCGGGCAATAACAACCTCGGAAGGATTGATCCCTCCCACGTCTCTTATTGATCTAAATATGACACGAATTCCTGTGAGTGAGCTAGGCCCTGCTTGCTATGTACCAAAGCTTCCCTTCACAGTGCTGTTAAAAGGAATCTACAACAGTTTACTTTAAGAAGTATTGCAAGGGTGTAACGTAGTCTTATCATTGTGCCTTAGAACCTTTGAGATATATTCTAAGCCGACGTACATGCTGGACCCTAAACTTCCTCAACTCTACCATCATCCCGAAATCCTATGGTGAAGGGTTTACGGTGTAAGGTCATTAAACCCTAAACCCTAAACCCGATGGTAAAGGCTAACCAGTTCAAGGTTTATGCCCTCCACCTTTCCACCTGCAGCGCGACAGCGGTGCTTACTTTTGCCTCGCTCCTGGCCTTTGCACCTCTCTCTCCATGAGGCATCCACAAAGTAGTAAGCATCCACAGTGTAGGCTTCAGGTTTTCAAGGCATCCTGTGGAGGCTCATTCCGGAGAGGTGGTGCCAGGATTTAAGTCTGTAGGCAACAGAAACTCGCAAGTCAATCCGACAAGAAAAGGTTGTCAAATAGAGCGTAAAGGTTCAACCCACATATATTTATATATATATATATATGGCATCCGCTCGCGGCCGCACTCCGCTGCTGAGGGCAGTACCCGAGAGAGGGCTCAGTCAAAACTAATGAAAGTCTCAAGTTCGGGACAGTCACAAATATGCAAGCCAAAGAACCTAACGAAACCACAGAAACCAAAGAAACCACAAAAACCAAAAAAACCAAAACCAAAAAAACCAAAATCCCAGAGGAGATCCAAAACCAAAAAACCAAAGAAACCAAAGACACAACAAAAAACAACGAAACCAAAACAACCAAAACCCAAATCCCGGGGGAGATCCAACACCGAAAAGACCAAAAAAACACGAAAACCAAAGCCAGAAACCTTGGTTTCTTTGTTTTTGGATCTCCACTGGGATTTTTTTGATTTCTTTGTTGTTTTTTGGTTTCTTTGGTTTTTTTTGGTTTCTTTGGTTTTTATGGTTTCTTTGGTTTTTATGGTTTCTTTGGTTTCTTTGTTTTTTTTGGATTTGGATCTCCCCTGGGATTTTTTTTTTTGGTTTTGGTTTCTTTGGCTTCTTTGGCTTTTTGGTTTCTTTGGTTTCTGTGGTTTGGTTAGGTTCTTTGACTTGCATAGGGATTTTTTTTTGGTTTTGGTTTCTTTGGTTTCCTTGGTTTCTTTGGTTTCTGTGGTTTGGTTAGGTTATTTGGCTTGCATATTTGTGACGGTCCCGAACTTGAAACTTTCTTTAGCTTTGACTAAGCCCTGACTCATGTACTGCCCTCAGCAGCGCAGTGCGGCCGCGAGCGGATGCTATATATATATGTATATATGTGTGTGTGTGTTACCTGTACTAATATTATTCGTATCACAACACTTGTGGTCACCATTGTATAAGTATTACTGAGATCACACGTGCAAGCTCGAGTCGCAACAGCTGTATTGTTAGCAGTATTAGTATGATTGGCATCATCGCTATTGTTACTATTACTCTTCATGCTCATGGCTGACGGTTTCCGCACGTCAGAAAACGTATGCTCCAATGCAATGTGTGCCCTGAAGTTATCTTCCGGTTTCCGCTGCACTCGCGATCGTAGCGGCCCAAATAACTACTAGCGGCTAGTCAGCACAGGTGTTGGTGATTAGCACCATTTTTGGAAATTCTTGTCGTTTCCATGATCATGCTGCGCAGCATTCCTGCGGAATTCTTTGTATCCCAATCATCACATGTGTATCGACATGCGCACACTCGTTTACGACAAGAAATTCAGCCGCATCGCTGCTATCACATGATGCTCATGTCCTGCCCCTGTGCTTGTCTAAGCATACGTCGCTCCGCAGTTGGTTCAAGCATGCTCATGATAAAGCTGCGTGTCCCTAAAACTAGCAAAACGCAGGGGCCGTATTCCGACCTCTAACCTATATCTATATATTTATATATATACACACATACATATACATATACATCTATACATGCATACATGCATGCATACATACATACGTACATACCTATATACCTACATACCCACATACGAGCATGCATACATACATGCACAGGTAGACACACCTTTTATATGTATGCGTATAGGTACGTTCATACAAGCAATACATGCACATGTACATTACAGTGACAGACGTACATATGATGCATATCTATGTGTTTGTGTTTGTATGTGTATATATCTATCTATCTGTCTATCTATCTGTATATTTACGTATATTTACACACATACGCCCATCCACACCCTTTGAAGTATCCATGGTTGGCACACGAAACACCATAGGCCGGCGAAAATGAAAGTAGGCCGACCTCTGGACACCACGATGTCGGCGTTATCGGACGAAAAGTCGGGCATAAGCCGATGCACTCATACCCTGTCCAGGACCCTTCTTGTATACAGCTTGTGCGAGGCTTTGTCTGCTGTAGAGAGGGCCTTGTTGCGCTGCAACCATTTCCGGGCAAAAAAAGTGAAGAAGCATCTGCCCTTAAAGGTATGCATTTGCGTGTGTTCATGCATGTTCATGCGCTTGTTATCTGCTCATTTATTCGTTCGTTATTCAATTAGCTAATTGTTTATCTGTTCGCATTTTGAGTTTCTGTATATCTATCTATCTATCTATCTGTATATATATATATAGATTGATGGGGTGTGTGTGTGTGTGTGCGAGTGTGTGTGAGTGTGTACATCCGTGCGCCATTTGCCATTCGTACTTACCGCCCTCTCTCCGATGTCGCTGCCGAGGCGTGTCCAAATGAATTTTGCGGGCAGAGACCTGAGCCTCAGGAAAGTTCATGAAATATCATTGCCGGCAGCTGGACTGAATGCAGCCTGTCATTGCTCAGCAAGGCATCAAAGACTTCCAGATACGTGTAGACATCGCACCTGGTCAGCAGCCAGCAGGGTACACTCTTTTTGCTGCGGCTCTCACCGAGCCTGAGGTCCTGGAATTAGAGGGTATCCGCGTTTGCGAAGCCATAGCCAGACATGCACAAAGTCCAGGTCAATCAACATCTTTTTCTAATAGTATCCCGGAGCTGTTCCAACTTGTGCACTCTTGGTGGTTCGGGGTCAGCAGTTGTTTTGTGAGCAGTGCCATAAACAGAGACCTGTTCACCGCCTGGGGTTTTTTCAGAAGAGGATGCCCTAAAGAGGCCGGGCGCAGGTAACCGAGGTAACGTTGGTGTTCAATCCTCAGTTGTCTTTGGGAAAAAAAGAGGCCTTTGAAGGTGCTTCTTGGGGGGTTAAGGAGTCGTAGAGGGGATGGAGGGAGAGAGGGGGGGCTGCAAGAGGCGTGCAAGTGTTCACAAATCCAGTCGCGGGAGCCTGCCCCACCATCGACAAATCATGCAAGCTCTATTCAATACATCTCGCCAACGGTTCAAGGCTGTGCACATTCAAGCCCCCTGCAACGATGCCGGGTGGCAGTCTGGGACTTGTAGGCCTGCCCGTCAACAATGCATACTCGGAGTGCTTGCACATGCATTCATGCGCGAGCATAAGATGATTCCCAAAACAGTGGAGCTGTCATGCATGGGCCCACCTATGGCACATGTACAGCTTGTTGCTACTCCTTCCGGTCGGTTGCGGGCGGCGGTGTGCGGTGATGCGACGCGCCCGCAGGATGTGTCATTACGCGCTGGGCATGCCACGAAGAGAGTTTGGAATGGCTAGCTTGTGGCATGTTGTTCAGTATGCTCGTAGGATGATCTCATCGCTATTCACGACGCAGAGGTCCGAACACCCCAAGCCAGAAATGCTTGACCAAGCAGGGCACTGCTTCAACAGCCATCTGGTCGTAACAGGAGGTCTGTGGTGCAAAACGTTCATTTTCGGGCATAGGGGGTTGTGAGCAAAACCAATTAGGCGGTTGATCTTGCAGAGATGTACTGCCTGCCCAGTGGTTCTGGGAGGCACTAAGTCCAACTTTTGTAGCCCGTGCTCCTCAAGCAGCTCTGAGTTTCCCAACAACCCCTGGGACGAACCGATATGAATGCGGCCATTGCTAAGGTCCACTATCTGAAGACCCTCGACTGGACAAACGAAGAACTTTCGTGGGCCTGACGTATGCTTCAGCTATTTCTGAAGCAGACAAGCCCCAAAGGAGAATGCACTTCTTCGTTCAACGTCGTGCCAGGAATCCGCCAGAGAAACCGGCAAGTTTCGCACCCGTCCGGTGGCAGTACCCTCAAATTGCTTCCGAACAGTTATTATGTCTTAGCAGCTGGTCGCTGTCTCAATACGCCTGCATTGAGAATCTGCGGTGTTAAGGATGCAGCAGATGGGCAGGCAATGAGCGTAGAAGCTGTGGACCTTTGCCTGCTGCAGCGGTTTCACTGCTGCAGTAAGTTTTCAATGGCGCGCCACGCCGTGCTGCATTCGCAGCGGACCAGGGGGTGCTCCCCTGCTTTATATCCGCTTGAGCTAAATAAACCCGCAGTATCCGCAGAGATCAATGCTCATGCTGTTGTCGGAATTCTAGAAGATAGTAGCTTCTTGCTGCTCGTTGACCATACATATACCATACATGCTCCTGAGTAGGGAGCCTTTCGCCCAGCTGCACCGCCGTTTCAAAAAAGTCTGCCATTGCTGCGATCGTTGGTTGTGGTCGCGGTTGTACTAGAAGGCTCCAAATTGACGGCATGATTTGACTCGGCTTAAGCTCAGGGAAGGCCTGAAACCTTCGTAGAGCTTCTATCCAAGATGCTATTCAAGAGTGAAGACTCAAAATTGCGTCGCGGCATCTCTCTATGTCCTATGCCCGATCACTGCGCGAGAACTTGATCACCTTCAATCCTTTCGCCACTCTGAACTTCTTGAATCATGTTCCGCAATGCATCTTCGGCTGGCTGGCATATTGCCGCTGATTGCAGCTCTTGCAGCATCACCGGGCACCAGCAAGTCAGCACTCTGCGCAACGGATCATGCCAAGAAAAGCACGCCAGCTCCCATTCGCGGACTACTCGCGTCTCTTCGGTCGATAGGCAGCACTGTGAGGTCAGATCTCGCTTTCACCAGGAGGTCAGGCGGCGGCACAGCTGTACACGCTTCCGCAGACATATACCCTGGAGAGGTTCTGTTCAGGATTCCTCAGTCTGCCCTTCTGTGGCGCGGTGCACATTTGGGAATCGCAGTGGTCCAGGCAGGCCACCTCACAGACGCCGAACGTTTAGTACTGGCACTTGCGGCAATCAAGAAGCGTCTTCAAACACCGCCGCCTCCAATCGAAGCATATGGGGCATTTCTACGGGAGGAACCACTACCAAACGCCACCATCTTGTGGAGGACAGAAGTCCTGGCTTGGCTGAAAGGCACAGAAGCGGCTGAATTGACTGAGCATTTCCTTCGACGAATAGCCCAAATTCATGCTGCTGCACCGCTTCTTTTGGAGTGTGCCTGACGTGTCTTTGGGGGTTGAGTCTTACACGAGCTCAGTTATCGCACGTGCCTCGATGTGTCTGATTGTAGCCGACTGCTCTGGTGCCAGGCATGACGACATCAAGGCGCGAGGGATACAGTGCGGAGTGCCCGTTGATAAGTGGAGTACAGGCTGCCTTCGCGCAATACTATTCGCGACATGGAAGTTTGCCATTGGGCGTACGGCTTAGTCGCTGAGTGCCACGCACTGAGTGGGGAGAGAACCTTGGCTCATCAGAGATGAGGCCAACGTGGTGCAGCAGAGCCAGTGATGCAGTGTGCTCAGCAGCCTTGCCGGGTCATGCCGGTTGCTGTGCTTGCATTAGGCACAGGCTTTGCATAACAAGGCCTGCGCATGCATTCCGAGAGCTATGGCTCTTTTAACATCATGCTGATCGACTGAGGATCCCGGGCATTGATTTCTGTCGCCGTAAAGATGGCGGCCTGAAGCCGGTGTGCCGCCTTATGCAAAATGTCATGCAAGGTCTACTGTCTACTGAGGTAGAACCCGCTTCCTACTGAGCATGACTCTGTGTGTGGGGTATACGACCTTGTAGGTCATAAGGAACCGTTACTCGACTCAACACTGAAAGGCAGGTGCGGCAGGTGCTTCTATCATTTCGCAGACTGAGGTACTGAGGAATGGCGACGTTGCCGGGCTTGCATAGATGCACTCGAAATGCTGCGAACGTGTGCTTTCACAGCTGGCAGGTGCACCTAGTTCTGACAGAAGTGCTTGAGTGCGGTCCATGCCCGAGGTTGAACTTCTGACGACAGAGACCATCAACGCAGGGGACGAGATTTTCGTTGACTTCGGTGCCGGGGGCTCAAAAGTTTTTATTGGGGCTGGCTGAGGCAGTGTTATGAACAGCTTTTGCCGAACTCAGGTTCGTGACCACACAGACCTCATTGTGCAGGGAGTTGGGCCCCAGTCGTTTGCGCTGACTTGCACTGACTCCCGACTTAAGTTGGCTGCAAGAGGCCCCGGACGATCCTGATGCCGGCATTCTTCTGCCAGCTTGCGTCCGAGCTTGCGGCCCTTTCGTCACCACTCTGGCGCGCGATGTGCCTGAAAGTCGTTGAAGGTGCCTATAGGCACCGGGCCTGCTAACAAATGGAAGCGACAGGCTCCCAGCTGCGCGCGCGTCAATCTGGCGCAAATCTTCCAGGATGCACAAAAATTCGCATGACCTCAGGTCGCCTCTTCGAGCACCTGCGTTGGCCGGCCGAGGTGCTTGGACAAAGCCGGACGGTTCAGAGGCGAAGAGCCCATGCGCGAGGTTTTGCTTCGGAACGGCGTAGTCCAGGCCCGCCAAATCAGGTTTGGGTTGGAAGCCAGAGTCCCATAAGAGTTGTCGAGGATCAAAGGCCTCTTCGCCTTGCTGCAATGCCTCGTGAAGAGTTCACGGCTTGGTCGCCGCCCGAGAGACGCCCGCACGGCAAGTGCTCTTTGCTGTCCCCACGTCACATCCACGGCGAGAGCAGAGATTGCTCCATGAGCCAAGCCCGAGTCCTGTCTTTGGGCACGCAAAACTATTGAAGAGGTCGGCTTTCCCGAATCACAGCACGTGGAACGGGGTCACAGTCGCAGAGTCGTACATGCACTCAGAACTCAACGAATCGAAGAATGACACAAACTTGAGAGCTTGTATTTCACCCCAGAGGAACTTTTACGACCCTACATATATCTGAAAGCTTCGCATCCCAAGGTCTGTTGGAGCGCTGGTCGCCGGGGCGCCGCTTGCAGTATCACGTGCCTTCCGCACGGAGACACAGGCAGGGAGGAAGGGAACAACGCTCATTTCGGGCGCCTTTTGGCCCTTGTGCCCGAGGCCAATGCATACTTGGTCGCAGAGTGCTCTAAGCGCGGTGCAACTGCGAGGCTGGACGTCATATTGATTCGCTCTAATGATTCCAGCAGCTAAGATGCCGTCCTTACCACAGCGAAGACCCATGTGTACATCTGCGTCCGGCTACTGAAAGAGATCAGCCAGGCTTGAGCGCTAGCCGAAGCCCTCTGCGGATGCCAAACAAACTGAGCACTGGAGACCGTTTTCCAAGAAGCAGCCGGGTCTTATGAAGTGCTCAGATGAGGGTCACTCCGCTGGCTCGCCAATGCCGATACTCTTGTAGCATGGAGACGTGACTTCGCTGGCATTGTTCTTTTGTGGAGACACCTGAAAACAAGCCCAACAAAAGAACTGTCTGAGCCCTTGTATATCTGGCCATTGTCAACGTTTTGCTCCGAAGGCTTCACTTCAAGAGTGCTGGCGACGGCATTCGTGCAACGATTGGGGAACAAAAATATTGATTCACTGTCGGAGGCAGGTAAGCCTTTCCGTCTCGGTGAAGCAACGCTGTGCCCGAATGCTGTTAACAGCCCATCGTCTTTGGCACCGGTGTTTTTTTCTATGGCCCTGCCAAGGAAACCGGGAGGGGAGCAACTGATTCGCTGTTGCTAAGTCATGGAGCAAGACAGAAGCAGTGCGTTGCTTCCTAGACGGCCACAAAATCCACTCAAAATTTGCACGACTATCGATAGGAGTGCTTTTCGGGGTCTGGGACTGCCTGGCAAAGGGCGTCCCGGAACAACGGCAAAGAGCAGGTCACCTCTCAGCGACCAGAACGGGCAGAACCAGAAGGCTTCGGCCTCCGTAGCCAGGCCAGGACTTGGGCCTTGGCCGCTGTTCGCTCTCGCTGCTCTTCTCTTCTGCACCCTGGCCCGAGGTATCGCGACCGGCTTGTCGAGGCTTGCAGGGACCCAGGATGTGGTGAAGAGCCGTTGAGAATCGCTTTCGGTGCTCACGTGGCAGTTTCGTGTCGCATCCCAGCTGGGAGTGTTTTCCGGACAGCCTGCAGCAAGATCTTAAACCCTGCAGGGCTACAGTCTGTGCAAGCTGCGAGCTGAAGAGAAGCTGCGGAAGCTTCATATGCCCGCGCCTCAGTTTTTATCGTAAGAGCTGGAGTACCATGGTGCAAGCTTTCCGCCTCATGGACTCAATGGCATGTTTCGGCTAGAAGTGCCAGGTGGGCGATGAGGCAGCATGACTGGGTGTTTCGTTTCGTGCACCAGGCAGGACGCGTTTCAGTACTACGCATGCTGCTTGCGAGTCGACCTGAGCAACACTTGTCAGGCAGTTCACATCACTGATAAACTGCCGCGAAAGATCGGAATTCAGGCGAGTGCACTTGGCTCGTCGCATACCAGAAAGCTATGCGAACTCCGAGCTGCGTCAGATGAATGCGCTATCGCACCCTGCCGCTGCATCGGACAGACTGGTCTCGTTGGCGTGCGCATGGACGCGTATGTGCATATTGTGTAAGACATTGATCGCAGCGCACAGGACCAGAACTATATGGCGAGCATGACTGTGGCCTTGGTGAATGCCAAGGTCCGTCGAAAGCGCATCCGGCTCCTTCCGTTTGCAATCGCTGTCGTTGAGGTCGCCAACTTTGTCCCATATTTCAATACGTTGCTGCAGGCACGCTGTTGACTGTGGTCAGCGGTCGCAGTCAAACTTGCCTCCAGGTTGCTGCATCACCACGGGAGCTTGCCAAGATCCGAAGGCTAGACAGCAGCATATCATCGCAGGGAGAACCCAAGCGGTGGCAGTTTGACCTCCTGGCACTACAAGCAACTGCAGCTTGTTCAGGCTTTCGAACGTGATGGCTCTCCTCCAAGGCTCCGGAGCCCTGAAGGCTTTTGAAGGAATCCCAGGAAGCTGCAACATGGAACAAGACTGGCGTTGCGTTTAGGGGTGAGGGTTTACGGGACAGGTACATCGTGTGATGAAGTTGATCTATCAGACTTCGACTGGATCAACGGATTGCAAGGTGGGCAGGGAAGTGAGGCAGCAGCCACTGTAATGTGATGTAATGAAGTGTGTCTAGATCCGGTCCACATAATTAATCTCAACATTGCTGCACTTTTAACGCCGTGACCTCAGGTAAGGATGCAATTGGAGCACTGAAGTGCTCCTGCGCAACGATGAGCAAGTGACAAGTTGTTCCGTTGCCAGTACTTGGGCAAAGTGCTTGGTCTCAGACCGAGGTACTTGCTTCCCGAAATGGAGAGTCTTGCACAGGCCATAGACAGTCGAATTATCACAAGTTCGAATTTTGGTTTTAGCTTCGGATGTGAAGCTTCTGATCAGTGCTCCGCTTGCGTGGGGTCGGAAATGCGTGGAAATCCTGCAGGAGTACAAGATTGCAGCTGACCTTTGAAGGACTTGAAGAATCGTTTGGAGAGTCTTCGCGTCCGGTTGAGAAGCAAGCTGTGTCCGTATCCCCATGTGAGGACTTCAAGGATGACGGAGGAGCGCGTACAGCCAGGGATGGCGTCGAAAAGAACAACACCAGAAAGGCTGTGCAGGAGTTCAATCTTCAGCTAGTGTAACGAAGAAGCATCTTTCGGGTTGTCGATGCAGCACTGGAGCAGTTCCTTGCAAGACTTGAGTCACGCGAGATCACGTGACTGCACCCTTTTTGCCTGCCCTTCTCACTTGGCTCACACAGAAGTACAAAGTTGGGAGAGTCACGAGTAGCCTGTGTGCTGTTGGAGCCGGGCTTAGCGACAAGGGGAATCTGATAAGAATCACATGTTGCCATGCAAACTGAATTCTCGTCGCATTCTCGTCGCGACTGAGGCTGCGCGTGCTCTCCAGGCGACCGGCGGATTCGCGCTATCTTTGAGCTCATTCGGCTGTGCACGAAAGTTGAGGTTCAATCATGGCTGTCACGGGGGATTACGTGCCGGCCTTTCTTCGAACCTCATGCTTGCTTCTATGCATACTGCAGCTGCTAGCATGTTGCCGGCCTGGATATTCAGGATCATCTGGTGAAGCTGCTGTTACTTGGTGACTCTGCTGTTGGCAAGCCCTCGTCCCGGGAGCTCGTGCATCCTGCAAGGTCAAGTAGCATTTCGTGTGAGAGGAGAGTCGGTTGTTTGAGGTCATCGCTGCTCATGCGGTTCTGTGAAAGCAAATTCGACGCGAATTTCGTCCTGACCATAGGCCAGCATCATGTTTCAAGTTGACTTAATTGGCAACTCACGGTGTGCACTTGGAAGAAGATGAAGTCGAGTGCTTCCCATCAGTCATGCCATGTCTCGAGAAGAAGCACTGGCAATCGCGAGGCGTCGACTTCAAATGGAAGCAAGTCGAGCGCGATAGCAGGAAATTGAAAATACAGGCCTCAACATGCGGCGGTGCTTGATAGACGCTGCATGACGAGGCTTGAGTTCAGACTTGACCGTCCCAGGTTTGGGATACAGCCGGACAGGAGCGGTTCCGCGTGAACCCTAGCAGTTTTCTGCGCTTGCCACAATAGGTGGCATCAGGCTAGTGCATGTCATCATTCCCTTCTATTTGGGGCGCCGTGAGGCACCATTACGCCTGCATACTACAGAGCTGCACATCTGACTGGGTTTTCGTTGTGGGCAGATGCTAGCATTCGGGTGCATGGTTCCATCAAGCCGCCAGGCAATGGGAGTGGTGATCTGCTACGACATAACGGACAAGGCAAGTCATCATCGCAGCTGCATTGACCAAATTGTGGTAGCCTGTCTGTCCCGCTGTTGGCTGACATTGTCGGGCCTAGCGAAACGGGAAGGCATCTTTTGAGCACATCGACTACTGGCTGCAGCAGTTGGAGCAGCATGGTGATGAAGGTGTGCAAAGGCCGGTGAGAAGATGTCCGACACTTATGCGAGCAAGGTTCATGTCTGGCCTCTGACAGGGTCCTTGTGGGAAACAAGTCCGACCTTAATGAGAATCGAAAAGTCAATGCCTCGGAGATGCGAAACCAAATCGATCCCTGAGCACAAGGTGTTTAAGAAATCTCTCGTAGGTCACCAGAGAAGAAGGTGAAAAGCTTGCCGCGCAGTACAGCATGAAGTTCTTCGAGGCCCACGCTTCCACAGCACCAAAAGCTATGCTTCCACACCTGATTTTTGGAGTCTTCCTACAGCTTTCCCCAAGCCTCAACAGCAACCCAACACCTATCATGCAAACCACGACGGCACCATCGTCATCAGAGGCACAGCAGCATAATCGGCGGTGTTTGGGGTTCAGGATTGCACAATCGAGACTGGTGTCCTTACCATGACTAGCTTTTCTTTCGCTGGCCTGACCCTGCATCTCAAGTTGCTGACATCGGGTAAAGTTCCCCAGTCTAGCAACTGGTTCTGCTCATGCACGTTGCAGACCTCTGCCAAGACGGGGCAAGAGGTTGAAGAGGCGCATGTGGCAGCGATGGAAGAAAATGGCAACTGCTTTTCAATGCTGTAGCGTTTTCAGTGCAGGCTTTCCTTTCCATAGCTGACGAAGTCGTGAAGCAACGATATTCAGACGTCCGGGCCATGATTCTGTCCAGCTGTGATGTTCTACGTGCGGGTTTCTGCATGGTACATGTGATCTCAGGTGCAGCCCAACACGTTCCAAGTCAAGAAACCAAACCAAAAAAAGAAGCAGAATTGCCAGCCCGAGCCCTGGCACTGGACACAGCAGGCTGCTCCATCGGTGCTTTCTGTGCCGATGTCTCCAGGTGTTGACGGCATGGCCTGGATCCCATGCCTCTGAAGCCGGGAGACGTTGCAGAAGTATTTTGCTGTGCTCCGCAATGCTTTGGAGTGGCGTGGTCAGAAGCACCGGACGCCCAGAAGTGTCGTAATGTTGGCGCCGCTAGTACATTGGGAAGTGCAGGCTCACCGAAAGTCATGATGTCATGCGTGCTTCTGCTTTCTTTCACGAGGCTTCAGGGTGAACTCGGCATGGCAGTAGATGCACAGGTCATCCTGCCCAAACATGAGCATTTTCTTGCAGTAAAGCAGTTTGAGTGGAAGCGACACCGCTTGCACTCGCTGCCCTGCATGCTAGCAACACTCAATGGCTGCTAACCGCGTCGCTGCCTGTGCTTGCGTTCTCAGATCACCATGGAACACTCCATACCAAAGCTTCATGTTCAGGTGGCTTTGGCTCTAGGCCATGACCGGAAGTGTCACACTTTGCAGCCGCGGATGCTTTGGCATCCACGGCTGACGCGCCGTCCTGGACCAAGCCGCAATGGCTAAAGAGATCCATGGCTTGCAAAGAGCCGATATTTTGTATTGGCTCTGTGTTCAAATTTTCGCACTGAAGCGGCACCTGCTGGGATACACCAGGTACCCAAGTCGGCACTTGGCTATGTAGGCTTTGGAAAGGAGAGCTTGCGATGGTTGTCGCCTTCCCCACACATCCCAACAGGTGACTGCAAACCTAGGCTTGCATGGATGTCGCCATACCGCTTTGGCATCAAACGAGTCCGTAGCTGTCACTACAGTTTCTGGCCAACCTCAACCTTTGACCAGCGACATAAAATCGCTTTGTCTTCAAATCTGAAACCGGTCAAGTCAACATCCACTGCAAGCATTGCTAGTGATTGGATCTCGTTGTGGGGCGAGTTTGAAGAGATTGCCCGCGCCGCATGGAGGAGGGTTCGCTGAGCATGGTGAGATGTAGCAACCGCAAAACTTGCGCTCGGGACGCGATGATGCAGCGACAAAACGACTTGACATGCATTCTAATTCGATTCTTTGGAGCGGACGCTTCCAAGCTTGAAGGCACCAAAGTCTTGTCTGTGATGAAGGATTATTGGCTCAAGTTTCTCAGACTCTTTGCGAGCTGGAAGCTTGCCAAAGCAGATGTAAATGGTGAGTGATGACACAGCTCGACCCCGTTGTGCCCCGCACCAGGATGTGCCAGTCCGACGGTCGGCCGTCACAAAGTGCATCGAGTCAGGAAACTCGCATGTGAGAACTCTCAAGTTCTCTGTCCGATTCGACTACCACGCAGCTGGCGTAGCTGGTGCTGCTTGCAACCAGAAGCTGCAATTAGAGGTCACCCCTTACCGGACAGAGGAGGAGAGGATGCAGAACACGAGTTGCTTTCGTCCAAAAAGGCGACTCCACATTGCAGATGGTCGGCGAGTGTACAATGGAAATCTAAACCTCCAGTATTCTTGGCAGCTCAGCAGTCTGCCGACTTTCCATCGAAGGCGCAATGGCTCACTGGACACCTGTACTCCGGCTCTCCTTCGAGCGACCTTCATACAGGCTTGCGGTCATGGTGTGGACGCATCTGCGTGATTTCACCCAGCACGATAGAAACCTGCTGCCAGTACCACAACGTGGCTGCCGGGATTGAGGTGATGTTGCAAAACTGTTGCAAGCTGGGTATGCACAGACGACGCCATGCGGCGCTAGAAGTTTACACAAGTCACCAACAGGTGCATAAGTCTGCTAGTGCCACTGAACTCGAAACACTTCTCTTTTTCGAGACACCTGCCTGTACTTCTGTAACGGACTGTAAACCTCGTTTCGGAGAGTGCGAGCGGCCAACACACACATCTGCAGTTGTTAATCAGGCGAGCCAATTTGAGGGGGTCTCGGTTACAACTCATCTTACACATTCTTGCGGCATGGTTTGCTTTGGTAAGGTGCGGTGACAGTGCAATGCATAATTAGACCGCACAGCCTTCATGCCGAGGCTCGAAGCTCACGTGTAAATCTGTGTCTCAGCCCTGTGCGGCAGGTTCGCTATCGGCTTCCTGATAATCGCCACGATGTTCCTGGTTCTCGTCGCCCTTAACAAGGAGCCTTCAAAACATCATACAGTGTGCCGCATCAGCGTCGTTGAGCAGATATGGCCGCTCTGTGCTGCTACAGAAGCTCTCGCGCGACTTTTGAAGGTGTCTGCATTAGCAGCTCCATTTGTTTCTAGAGTGTTTCTAGTGTCGCTTGCTGCTCCTGCATCTGCCATTCGTAAACTCGTGCAGAAATCGGGACAAAGGATCTCCCCAGTTGGTAGTGCTGCAAGCTCAAACGCCACCAACTCTACTACTGCCCGTGCAACTGCACTGGCTCAGGACTGAGCTCGAAGTGAACTCACACTGAGAGTCGATCAACCATGACAACCTGTAGCGACAGTCAGCACCTCGTGACGGCAGACATGACAAGGTTTTCGAGCTTTGTCAACAACAAACTTTCCGCTGATGCTGCTAGCACCTACAATGCTTCCAGACAGGACCGATGGAGTCTGCTGACGCGAATCTATGACTCGCCAAGAAGAATGGTTGAAAGGGCCGGACCTGCAGAGACGTTTCTGATTCCTGGAGCACTCCTGCTCATTCTGCTGATTGCTTGGCGGACAAAGAATCCAGTCCTTGAGACGCGCTTTCGGGTTGAAAAGAAGAAAGACACGGCGATTCATCGCTGGGCAAGCTCTTTGCAATACCTGCCTTTGCTTGTGTGCTGCAAATTCATGTCGTTGGAGTGACCGAGCCGCATCTTGGCTTGTGCTACACGGAAGTGCGTCTCAGCAGTTACGCGCTGCCATGTTCGAGTCCCGAGCGACTACCTTGGCCCTTCTGGGCTTCTGCCTTTCCCACTTGGCCTTGGCATCCACGCTTCCTGCAAGAGGCCCATCTATTCGGCTGCCGGGAGGCCGAGTTCTTGAAACAAGATTGCATCCCGATGCCAGGCCAGAGATTGTCGCAGCATTCATGGCCAATGTCCCTTTCCAGTCCTTCATATTCCACACAGTTTCCTCTGGAAGAAATCTGGTTTTCCTGATGCCCACTTCGGGGGACCAGTTTCGGATGAAGTCCTTACCAGGCGAGGGATTGAAAGCTCGAAGCTCCTCTGATGCAGGAACTCTCTTCTTCCGTCATGACCAGATGTGCGTGTTGACATACGGATACAGCCGAGATCATGAGTCCTTTCTGCCGCCGGTGCTCTATGTTGAAGCAAAGGATCTGCCGTTGTTGCAGACCTTTGGTGGTGAAGTCTGGGAAGGGCAACTCCGAGGAGAAAGGAAAACACCATTTATCTTCACTTTCACTTCCGATGTTGCTGCAGGGGTGAGTGTACCTGTACCGTCATTCAAAGACGAGATGACTGGTAACCAAAAGGTGGATGAAGCAGTGGCCTTCATTCGATCGCAGACGTGGAGACACTGGTTGGAGCCGCCGCAGGAATTGGTGCACTTGCTGTCCACTGGCGACTCCCGCGGTCAGGAGGGAACTGAAGGTTACATTTTCCCCCCGATGGTCATAGGCAATGGTGTGATGATGGTCTTGTCAACATATGCACACAGCGGGGTCTTAAATGTACTTGCCTCACTTCTGGAGAATAAGAGCATCGGGAAGGACGACATCATTCTACTCCAACAGCTGGTGAAAAGGGTCGCAGACACAAACCTGCCTTATCTGCGGTCGCTCAGCCTGGATACGATTTGTGGCGGCTTTGACCGTTTCTTTGGCGCTTGGGACCAGGCTGAGACTGCAGTCGAAGTTCGCAGACTGGTTGGTGCCATTTCATTGTTCGGAGCCTTGATGCACGGATGGTTCGTTTTCCTGTTCCCTTACCGGCTTGGCACTGAACTCCGTCGTCAAGCACCTCGTTTTGACAGTTGGTTCAGCACGGAGCCATCGGAGGATACATTCCGCGTGCCATTGCGGTTCAGAGAAGGTCGGGGGCTTGGGGTGGCAACGTGGAGTGTAGGGACACCAAGCGAGCGGCAGAACTTCAAGGCGAGCTCGCGTTTGCCGGCGAGTCTGCCGGCCCTGACTCCCAACAGCCTTCCGCTAATTGTCGGTGTACAGCCATCTGCTGTTTCGACTTCGCTGAATGATTTGGCAGTTTTGTCTCGGGGGCTCGTGGAGGAGCATTTATCGGCGAAAGGAGCTATACTGTTTCGCAACCTGCCAGTCTCCACGTTTTCCGAGGCAGGTAGTTTCATTTCTTCTCTCGGTTACACCATGTACCATGATCCCAGCGGTCGAGAGAGGGTGGCAGAGGGTCTGTACCATTCGTCGCTGGCTGTTCCCGCAGACATCAACATCGCTCCCCATCAGGAGCACATAGTATCCAACAAACCTCCCAGCAAGTTGTTCTTGTTTTGCCAAAGTCCTTCTGTGGACGGAGGTGAGACTCCCTTGGCGCATGCAGGAGATGTGTGGGATTGGCTTCAGAGCACCACACAAGCTCAATTGCGCCGTCGGGGTGTTCGCTTTGAGATGGTTCGGGGCAATGCTGGCGATCCTGGCAACCCTGTGCAATTTACCCGAAGTTGGCAGGAGCACTTCTCTACTGATGACTTGCAGACCGCTATCAACAAAGCGAAAGAAGACTTTAACGGCACATTCGAAGTAGATGATCATGGCAACATCATTCTCCGCAGTGGATTCCTTCTCCCGGTGAAGGTGGTACAAGGAAGGGAAATATTTAGCTCGCAGCTGCAAAACGTTTACAGTTTGCGATGGTTGTGGGGGGATGCTGATGAGTACGTGCCGGACGATATTCTGGAAGACGTTATGAGTGCTGTGTGGAATGCGGCCACAGTCTTCCGATGGAAGGCTGTTGGGGGCGGGGGGGAATCAAACTGAGAGCAACTAAGCACGAAAGTCACACCAAGACGCATGCTGGGAGCTTGAGACTTGACTTGCCTCGAAAGCTACAGGCAACTAAAGCTGGAAGCCTGCATGCGGCCAATTTCACTATCTGCGATGTCTGGATAGTGTTGCCTAGCTAACGGTGCCTTGAGGTTTGTTAGGTTGTTTCCTCGTTCCACACACTCACCCTGTTCACTCATTGTGGATCTTTGTTTCGGGGATGCACACCTGTCAGGCAGGCGATCTTCTTGTGGTGGACAATGTGAAGGTCTTGCACGGGAGATTGTCGTACCAAGGCGACAGAGACATGGCCGTAGGGCTGACGCACGATTGACCAACGGCCTGGCAGCTTATAGAAACTTGGCAGTCTCTGAAGAGGCTTGGTTTCAGATGTGTCAGCGATAGTGGTGCCTGCAATCGTTTTTGGACGGCTTTAGTTTGGGATTTTTAGTTGCTTCTGTGGTACGGAAGCGCAAGTGAGTTCTGGTCTGGTGAGTCTCCAAGAAGCGGACTCTGCAAAAGCCAAGTGGAGAAATGCAGCATCGCGATGACGAAGCGAGCGCCCGTTACTTCTCACCAGTGCAATCGTACGTTCTGTTCATGGCGTGTTCTCTCTGCCGTTCTAGCCGGCTTGCCTCACAGGCGACACGATAGGGCCAGCTAAGTGTACTGGGCAGTGCAATGTCGAATGGTCAGCAGTTTTCAGTTTCTCAGCATTTCCTAATACAGTCGCAGCGTGATACTGAAGAAGTTTTCGGTCAGGCCACTTTGAATGGGCCAATGTAGCGTTTATGGCATGAAATGGTAGACAGCAGGCACATCTCGACAGCGTGCTAGTCACGCTAGTCAGCTCGTTGAAGTGCGCACACATGCTGCCTGCAGGAACCTTCCCCGTCCGCCTGTGGCTGCATTTGCTGAGCCGGCTGCTCGTGATTTGAAGTGATGACTCCGGCTGTGTGCGCACTGTGCAGGCAGCATACGGCCACGATCACAGGGATAGAGAGGGTGACGACAACACTTATTCCCGTCCATCCTATGCCCCCAGTCATGAGCTGCAGGGTAAGGCCTCGACTTGAGTGCTCACCATGTCGGGCAAGTTGTTCAATCATGCTTGGCGCAGCCTGATGGGGTCCTGGACCAGAAAAGACCAAAACCAGGCTGCTTATTGCACGATTTGGTAGCGCCTGAGCCGAGTGTGCTCATAAGCCAGTTCGGTTCTTCAGATCGCGGGTCTGATTTCCCGAGGCCGAGGTCCTCGAAGAAGTCGTCAGCTCGGCCCGTCAAAACAGCTCTCTTAGGGCAGCGTTTCGCTTGTTTTCACTGCGCTGCCCCCCCTCTCAGATTCTCGCGCAGCGAGGGCCTCCGAGCGGAGGGACCCCCGAGGCCAGGGCCGGCGCGAGCGCGCAGCGAGCACATCGAGGTATATAAACAGTGCCGAAGGCTTCTGTCGGTTGGCGGAAGAGAAGGTCCTGGACAGCAGATCAATGGAGATTACGAGCTCCTGGAGGCAGCAGCCATGGCAGCTGAGTGTGCGAGTTTAGGGATCATCAAGATCTGCAGGGCACAAGACCTCACGGCCGACCCTGCTGGCTGCGCTTGAGCTCCGGCTTTTTCACAGCTCTTGTCTCGGATGTGGAAGAGCTCAACATGTGCTCTCAGGTCGGGGCAAACCGCTACCAAACACCGGAACAAACGGACTGGCAGAGGTGGATTGTGCCTAAAGTGGTCTTGTGCTTTGCGTGGACAAGCGCTTCCATGCTTCTGTTGTCAGCACGACGGCGAGCTGCGGCCGCTATACCTCTTCTTCGGTGAAATGGGGTACTGGAGCATTGCCGCATCAGCACAGTCCTCAGTACGTAGGACTTTTAGGGTCTATTTGGGGATAGCCTTTTGATATCATTGCATGTGTAATAGAAAATCAATAATTGGGCATTCCAAGGTCCACGGAAATGTCATTGTGTTTTGAAGTTTTCAATTTCCTGATTTTTTGAAAGTTGCTGAAATCTTGAACGTTTGAACTCAATAACTCAAGATTTCAAGAGTTCAAGAATTTTCTTTTTTAATCAAATAAAAAATTCAAGAAACTTGAATCTCGAATTCAATAGTTCAAGATATCAAGAATTCAAGATTTTCCTTTTCAATTAATAGAAATTCAAGTCAAGATTTCAAGAAATCACAATTTCTCTTCTTAAATTAGTATAAATTCAATAAATTTGAATCATTGAACTTTTGAGTTCAATCATTGAAGATTTCACGAATGCAAGATTTTTCCTTTTTGATTGAGAATTTCAACAGTTCAAGATTTCAAGCATAGGGTTTGTGCCTATTTAAATTAATTTTGAATTTCTCTTAATTTAAACTGGGGAAAATCTTGAATTCTTGAACCCTTGAATCATTGAAAACAAAATTTGATTTCAAGAATGTTCAACATTATTGTTGAAATTTCCGTGGACCTTGGAATTGCAAATGTTGAATTCAAAAACTCAAAGTCCAAACTTTTTAATTTCTATCAATTTCCGGAAGTACATGGCTCCATTCGGTTCGTTTCTGTTCTTTAGAGGGAGTGTTTCTGAGCGGTTCGGTTCTGTGCGGTTCGCGGTTCTTAGCGTTTCTTGTTTTTGCGGTTCCGCGGTTCGAGTTTTTGGAGGCCACCCCCACCCGTCCAGCCACCCTATATAGTTTTTGAAAGTGTTCTTTCCAAATCAGAATGTGAGCATTCAATGTTCGCACAGAAGCAAGCCACCGGACATCCAAAACATATAGGTGCAATTGAAATCCAGGCTGGCGTTGCAGTTGTGGAAGGGATGTATGACATTTGGGTTGAGTGCACGGATTACATTCATGTGTGTGTGTGTGTCATGATGTATGATGCAAGTAGTATCCCCAAATAAGCCCTGAAGGTCCTTGCAAAAGAGTCCTCATGATGCATGCGTGTGGCCTAACTCCAGCATGAGTGTCTTTGGACCGATTGTGAGACATAGGTCCTTGCGGCAGGGGTGCACGTGCGGGCCTTGGCTTCTTCCGCCCGTGATTGCCGACTCCATTCTGTTCGTTTGCTCTGTGGCTGGGGCTGCTTGCTGGTGTTTCGGCGGACTTGACTCATGCATGATTCTTTTTTTCAGAACGGAGAAACAAGCAAAGCATCACCACAAGAGTCGATGGGTTGCAGGAGTTTGCGTAACCAAAGCTCACAAGCCTACAAAGAGCCTCAACCGGTCTGTGGAGAGACCATACAAGAACTTATGACTCTTTGTGTGCTTCATCCAGCCTTGGAGCTGCATTACCGCTGCGATGACCGTGTCCCTGAACCGGTGCTGGAGATGCAAGGTGTTGGCACGGTGCGGTCCCGACTTCTCGTCGTCATCTCCTGATATGTGTCTCTGGGCCGCAGATAGAAGCATATTCGGATGAATTCTCTCTCCGGTGCTGTTGAAGTGTCTTGCCAGTTCCGTAATCATCTGTGTAGGGAAGGGTGAATAGGTTAAGTCTGTCTCAGCGTGCGGCTAAGGTACGCTGCCGTGGACGGTGTTTGCCTTTGGGAAGGCCCTGTACGCATATGCCTTTCCCAAGCTCATCAAGGGTAGATGCAACTGCACTGGAGGCACAGCGAGATGCCAGCATCTTGTGCTTCAGACACGACCTATCCGCAGATGTACCAAAGGCATCGTGTACTCGAGTATGCAGTCACATCAGACGAGAGATCATCAGAGTCAGGACATCTGCACCACGATAAACAGGATGGGTCGGACCGCTTACTCGGCTTCGAGACTAAACTTGTGTGCAGAAGTATGGCCCTGTTTGCCTATCACGCGGGTGCCGTACGATGTGAGCAAGTCATACTGAGTTAATGGTTCCTTCAGCACTCATGCACGAGTGCATTGAGAGAACAGGCCATAACATGCCCATAGTCCTCTGGTCGCTTTGCCTCAAGTCGGAAAGTGTCAGGTGTTGAATGTCTCCGGCTGCAGAGGGGATCACGGGCAGCTGAATGGCAGCTACACTCATTTACAAGGCCCTAACTCCAACACACATGCTGGTGGTTTTTCAGAGTCCAGTCAGAATCGTTTCTTTCTGAAAACCAAGCTCGGCTCAGGAGTAAGAGTGAGCAGCCGCCCGGTCTTTGTGAAAGACTGCCGTGCTCGTGAGGGTGAAGAGAGGACCTGCTGCAAGCCTGACTGTTGGACGTGTGGGCAATGTACTTTTTCTAGGTGCATGCATTTCCAGATGTGTGCTTCATGCTACTGTAGCGCGTGGCATCGCGTGGCCGAAGGAAGGTCTTGCACTTCTCCCAGCGCGTGGGGCCCAGCGGAGCGGAGCGGCGCAGTGCAAAGCCATGTGCAGCCTTCCATGAAGTGATCCGGCTTGGAGGCTCCGGGAGATGGTTTATCTCCAGCGTGAGCTTGGGCTCCTTGGAGGTCAGCAACGCTTTCTGCTTGGCCGGATCTAGTGTCCCCAGCGGTCGTGGCAGGTGGATCAACTCAGCACGTCTTCCGACGCTGGTCCCCCGGTGATGTGTCAATGTCAGACCGCACCTGCAGAATTTGCAGACAGGGGATGGACCGAACGGACTTCAGTCCACAGTGGCACAGTGCCACAACGCTGGCCAGGCCAAATCTGGAAGTGTCATTGTGCGTAATGTGATTGTGGTGCCACCTTGTCTTGTCTTCCAGCCGCCAGCTGCCGGCCGGACGAGACTCAGTCTTTTCGCCTTTGCTGCCATTCATGTCTCAAACGTCCGGTGTGGCATCGTCAAGATTATGTGCACTGCAACGCTACATTCCTAGCCGATGTAGAGGTTTGAGGACCGCGGAAATTTCAAAGTAGGACTGTCGCCATGGCAGTTTTGGAGATCCGCGTGCTCTTGGAGAGCAATGTCGTGGATACCATTTGAATCACGTCTGAATTGAAGCCGGCATGCAGTCATGCATTGAGAGTGCAATGCCATCAACACGCAGATTTGAGTTCCGTTTCGTCGGAGTTTGTGCATGGAGTTGATATGAAGTCCTGGTACAGGTCTCCCAGCTTCAATCGCCTCTGAGGTGTAAAAGCTGATGAGGTCAAGAACCTGCCCGGTGAAGCCTTTGATATCATCTGTGCCATGGCGATGTCAGAACACCCGCATCTGAGACGGTCAAGAAACGGGTGATATGAAAAGCTGTTCACACAGCCGGTTCAGCAGCAGTCTCTACTTCTCAGGTCAGAGGGCGCAGCAAGCAGTGGGAAACAAGGCTGATCTCGAAGCGAATTCTCTCCGACATACCGTGCGGAATTCGAACTCGGAAATGTCCAGTTCTCATGGGCATGTCGCAGGCCATCAAGCGCATCTTCTACGTCGATGCCCTTCGACTGTAACTAGTAGGACTAATGTAAACAGAGACTGAGACGTGGCTTCGTGACAGGATGAAGGCGATGCCTGCACATTGGCTCCTCCCTCCATTTCCGATGCCTTGGACTTGTGCAGAAACGGAGTCAGCTACCCAGCGAGCGCCTTGTGGGCTCAGTGCTCCCAAGCTTCTGCTCTCAAAACCCATGTCCTGAGGCCTGAGCCCCATTCACGTTTCTTGCTGATTTGTCTGACAACCCCTTGTGCCTTTATATGATGGTCATTCCCGAAGCCATAAGCACTACACTGGCCACCTGATGGAAACTGCTGACTTTGCCCATATCCGCGCTGGTTTTGCCTTGCTTCGCTCGCCTTTTCCTCGCTCCCATAGGTGCACTTCAGTTCACATGTTTTGAGAGGACTCTGCTTGTCAACTTATCTTGATCATCGCTTCTCGGGATGCTGATATCTGCTTATGCTTGCCTCGAGGAGGTGCCTGTCCAGTCTGCGTGGCTGAGGTCCTGGAGCTGCGCATCATGCTGGAGGCCACAGCTGGAAGCTCATTTGGTGTGAATTGCTATCACGTGAATGCAGGAGGCGACAGCCGCAACTGCCCAAAGTCAAAACTCGTCACCATCAATGGCAGCCCATTGGCAAAACCCCATGCAGACCGCTGAAGCTGCTGACAAGATTACTGTGGCTTTTCGCTCCCAGTCAGGTAAGCCAAGGCAACGAGGATGAGGCCTGTGTAAGGCACAGCCACCTGAAGATGGTGCCCGAAGTGGGGTGCTCAGCAGTGCACGTGTGGAAGGAGCCGCAAGTAATTGATTCTAGCCGGACGGAATCTTTAACAATCAAGTTCTTGATCCAAACACTGTGAAAGTGCCTAAGCTCGAGGTGCTCAAGGAGGGTGTGACTGCCACTTGGCGCAAGCCTACTAGAGCATTGCACAGCACTGCTGAATGGCTGGCAGTTGACATGACAGTATATTGCACCTCCAGTTGTTCATCGCCCACGTCTCGTACTTTTTCACACGACTTGACGTTGCCACAAGCGCGACAGATTTGCGCCACTTCCACCACAAAGGCTGACGCTGCACAGAGTTTAGAATTTGGAGCAGAGGAGGTGGGAAGTGGCGTATGTGGCCCTCACTTCGAGTCGAGGCTGGCCGGGGTTGGATCGTTGAAGCCGAGCGCAGGGTTGGAGGAGCCCCTCACTTTGCGCTCCCGCAAGCCGGGGTTCGGCGGATTTGTTGTCTTTGGTACATTTTGATACATGCAACACTGAAAGCCTTCCAGGAACCACAGATCGCGTCGGAAATCCCCAAACAAGTCGTGTGAAGATCCTGCCCCCCCCCCCCCGCCCCACACGGCTGCGGGACTTGCTGAAATCTCGTGTGTATCACCAAAACGTTGATTGTTGCTCAGACGGCTTGGTTGGCAAGTTCCACGCAAAAGGATTCGAAATCAGGCTAGCCATAAGCTGTGTGAGAAGGCCCGTTAGAACGGTACAAGTGTATAAGTCGTGCCCATGACTAAGGCTTTCACTGACAGAAGCTGTGCGTTCAAGAGCCTTGTCTGTCACATTCTGCTATGCTGGTTAAAGCTTGTTTTGCTCTGCTACACAGTCGTGGCAAACTCAGGGGCGTCCCTCAGCAACTTACTGGGGCCACTCTATTCAGATCGCGATATATCGTCCCTGAAGACACCGAGTTCACGGTGCAGGCGCCAGCATGCCATCACAGTTTGACGTCTACAAAGCCTTTGTGCGACATTTTGCAGGCACGAGCAGGATCGCCTGTCTATCTGTTTAGCGAGGCCTTCCGCCAGTGCTGCAGCTGCGTTGCACAGATTGTTCAGTCGTTCTGGTTGAATGAGGCCCACCGTGATGGTGGTTTTCCAATGCTCGGCTGGCAGCAAGAAGATGCTGGGCGTTTTCACTGGCAAGACTTGGACGGCAACCCGGCACAGAAAGGGAGGTGGCATATTCTGGAGTCCACACATCTGCTAACCCCCATTAACCCCCTCTGACTCATGTGACTGCGGAGAACACAGAGTCAAGAATTGCAGACCCGGTTGCAGAAACACAAAGAAACACAGACACACAGTCGCCGAAGGAAGGAAGGACGGAAGGAAGGATGGAAGGAAGGAACGAAGAGACAGAACCGCAGAAATCTTCGGTGCTCCACCTACGACGGGAAAAGACGGATGGTGGCGACAGCAGAATCAAGAGAAATGTGTGGATGATGTTGGATCATGGGAATGCAAGAATGCATCCTAGAGTGCTAGAGTTTCGCGGCCGTGTCAGCTTCGTGGTAGCACAGGCAGAGCATATGCACTGAACTTGTGGAAGAAGATGAAGGGCGTTGAAGACATGAAGATCCCGATCATGAATTCCCTGGTTGGCGGGATTGCAGTGCAGGCGGGTATTTTCAGTTGAGCTGCAACAAGTTGTGTGACTTCAAAGTACCCATGGCGAGGCTAGCCAGCAGACTGAGGCCGAGCCGGCAAAGGACGACACAAAAGCCAACTTGCTTCTGGACATGCTGAGGAAGGCTCATGGCGGCAATGCCAGAGAAGTTCTGAGAGCCTTTGGGCAAGCCATTTTGCAGTGGCTGAACGAGATGCAAGAGGAACTGCCAGTTCAGTGCTTGACACTGCTCTCTCCCATGCATGCTTTGGCGAATGGAAGCTTCCGTGAAGAAGAGTTGCTATCGTTTGCACAGACGGCCGTGGAAGCATACGAGAGCCTCGAGCCCAACATCAAGATGGAAGTCCGGGGCAGATTGCAAGACTTGTCAAACATGCTGCGCTCACCGCAGCAAGTCCACCATGGAATAGTCTGCGATGGATGTCAGCAGACTCCCTTGCAGGGCAGGCGTTTCAAGTGCAAAGTGTGTCGAGACTACGACCTTTGCCAGACATGTCCGGGGCCCAGTTGCACAACCATCCTGGAAGCAGCTTGTCACCAACAGTTCATGGGGTCAGCGGAGTCAAGAGTGTTGCCCATCCGATGGCATCGAAGAAATCGGCAGTTTCCGCCTCCAAACCACAAAGCTGGAGCAGGCCTGTTGAAAAGAGATGAAAAAATACTGTAGCAATTTGTGCTGTCCGCTTTGTCGTCATTTAGTGGTTGGGGCCAACGATGTAGCACGATGTAGGCGGTGCACGAGGCGAGCGCTGAAGTGTGCTTGTCTGAGCGAAGGCCTTGCTGCGTCTACACATCAGGCTTTTGATCCGTTCAGGGACCGGAAACCGGAGCAGTGTGGACACAAGCGGGGCCACAGGGCTGGCGAGAAACGTGTCACAAAACCTCACGGTCTTGGGAAGCAGGGGCGAGGTGGACGGACTTCTTGACAAAGACCTCGATTTGTTCTGCCGAGCTGCAACAAGCAGAGCACCGTAACAACCGAGTGAGGTCATCGTAGGACGCAGCGCAACGCACAGCAAGAGCAGTTAATTACTAGCCACAGAACACCTGAGGCATGGAGAAGGATTGCCACCCTGGACATGAGTTCGAAGAAGTGCCAGAATGCCAAGCTCCTGGCAATGTGTTTCCAATGTGGCAACCAACAGTTTATTGCGATGGATGTGACGCACACCCTCTGGAAGAAGCGAACCGTTACAAATGCACGATCTGTAAAGACTACGACCTCTGCAAGAGCTGCTTCAGCTCCAGGCAGCACATCCATCCGGAGCATGACAGTTGGATTCACCAGGGCGCGCAAGTTGAAGAAGCAGCTCCTCCGAATACCCAGAGCTTGGACGGGAAGGCCGGGTCATTCGAAAGAATCTTGGGCTAGCTGTGCAAGTCTCCTCGCATCATCTCTGTCAGCAAACACTTGATAGTCGCACGAGCTCAGCTTCTGCGGTCAAGAAACGAGTGTTGTAATCAAAGAACTCAGCGGCCCCCTGTCGGTGTTGGGCTGCTGCCGGCATCAGTTTTCGTTTGCATGCAATCCTGTAACTTGTAATTGCCACCTGAAGAACCTGAGAATGCTACTCCGTTGCTTTACTATCAACGGGAGAACCGGATACATGCTCCATACAGGAGGCATAACAGTCTTGGAAAGAACGCAGAGCTTCCTCCTGCTCTGCAGGGTCGTTCACGAGAACCATGCGGATATCGAAGAGCTTTGTTTCCAACATGTCTATGCTGTTCATTGAGTGAGTGAGTGAGCGAGTGCGTGAGCGTCGACCAGCACTTACAGTGCGGCCTGCCTCCCATGTCCCTCTCAACATCTCAGAGGGGCTCCGGAGTCGTCATAGTCCCCCTCCGTCAAAGAATTCAAGTGGGGGAGAATTACAGTAGCTGATGCGGTTTAACACCATGGTGTATGGTGTGTAACCCCCAAAAACCTGTGAAAACATAGCCCTTAGGATACACCGGCTGGAAAGAATTTTTCAGCGGTCGAGGAACAATGGGGCCAGGAATGAATTGGGTTTGAACGCTAATGGTAATTCCAGCATGCACCAAAAATACACCAAGTAGTCGGCAGACGCAGACAGCATCAAGCGCCGTGTGCCGAGGGAACAGTGTTCCAGCACCCAGGGCGAGTACGCCACCAAGCAGGTCCAATGAAGTAGTATCATTAGTAAGCGAGGCTGCCGCAGCAATAAACGGCACAGATGCAAATCCCTGGAAGAAAGCCGGTGGCAACAGCGGCAATCAAGCGAGCTGTCAACGCTTGTGGTAGGCGTGGAATACCTCACATATACATTGGACGCCCACATGCCCGTGACCCCATGCATGGCGTCCACCATGTCCAAGCGAGCTTTCGATGCATGTTGTAGGTGCGGAAAAGCTGACATAAAGATTGGACGCCGCAACACCGTAACACCATGCAACCAGCATTTCATTCACTTCTGACGCATACATACCGCACCCACCCAGTAGTAGCAGTAGAAAAGTCGTCGTTTTCGCCTTCGTCGTCGTAACCGGAACGAAGGATGGCATATTGCCCAAAGACACGAGGTCGAGCCACCGATGCGTCCGATACGTAACGGCACTGTCGCCCTACTGCCACCAGGTGGGGGAAAGGGAGGTGCTCCCCGAGTCGCCCACGACTCTTAGTGCCGCCCCGGGGATCCACACCCTTTCCGGCACCAGCCCACCCAGCCGAGACAAGCACTAGGCCCTGGAGCTATGCTGTTCATTGCTTGGGCTTGTCTCTCTGTTTTGCTAGACGGGCGTGCTGTCTGATTGACTATGGGCAAGTCATTTTTCCGAACCCGCCACAGGCCAGCATTACCGCCATGGCATCCCTGCTGCAGCACAGCGATCCAAAGGTGCGGGCAGCCGCCAACGACGCTCTAACAAGCGCCGGAGCCACAAGCCTTGCCTCGGAGAAGGCCAGAAGAAAGTATAAATTTGATGACAAGGTTCTAGGCGGATGTCTGTCCAGGTGCAGGAGGGCTCAGACATCAGTGATGGCTGGGAGAGGCAAAATTTGTGTGGGTGTTTGAGCTTGGTGCGTTGCCAACGTGGAACTTGGTGCAAGGTTGGACAGCCTCGATCAGGTTTCAGCGAAGGAGCTAGAAGAGATGTAGTGATTGGGTAGTCCATTCCCTGCACCCAGGAGGATCGGCAGTTGAGCTAGAATCGCTCCTCCTCGACAGTCTAGCCTCGACAGCAAACCATTCCTGTCCATCCTGGTACTCATAGCAACTCAACTTTGGGAGGTTTGTGGAGGCGAAACGGCGACACCTGGACTTCTACAGTAGCGGTCGTCGCGGTCGACGCAGCAGCAGTCGCAGTGGTCATCGTCGTCGTGCAGTGGTGGCAAAAGCAGTACTCGTCGTGCGAGCAGCAGTCGTCTTCGTCGTAGTACTGGTGGTGGTAGTCGTCATCGTGGTCGTTGTGGCAGTAGTAGTATGTAGGAGTAGCAATATACAAAGCAGTAGCAGCAGCAGCAGCAGCAGCTGCAGTGCCGTGTCAGTAGCTAGAGCGGTGGATGTAGTACTGTTGGTGGTAGTTGTAGCGACAGGGGCAGTGGCCTGGTAGTGGTCGAGTAGAGGTGTGGTGGAGTCTGGTGGTGGTGGTGGTGGTGGTGGTGGTCGTGGTCGTGGTGGTCGTGGTGGTCGTGGTGCTTGTCGTGCTAATCGCAGTAGTAACTAGTTGTACTAGTAGTACTAGTCGCAGCGGTAGCAGCAGTAGACGTTCAGTCAGCCAGAAAGTAGCCGTCGCTCGACTGTGCGCTTGTTGGCAAACTCGCGATCGGGAGTGCGCGGAATCTAAATGCACGAAACAGGAGGACTCTGTGTCAGACATCAATGATGGCTGGGACAGGCAATCTGCAGCGGTGCTCAAGGGTTGGCTTGGGCTTGTTTCAGCTACACATCCCGTGCAACCAAGAATCTAAAGTTCTGTTGAAGGCTGGACAACGTGGATCAAGCCTCTGCAAAGGTGCGAAAGTTGCTGCAGTGCCCAAATCCCTCTCGATCCTTGCGTTTCGAGAGGTAATCCATGCCAGCGTCTTCGCCAACGCCGCAGTTGCGCACCCGCTGAACCTGGACATGATCCACCATGGCTGCAAGGCGCAGGGCACATCGCGCCTCCTTGCAGGATGCTGGAAACTCAGATTTGCAAATCTGAGGTCTTCCGCCTGGCACACCTGGAGATCGATCATACGGCCTCGACGGAGTCCAGAGCCATTGTGAACAGCTTATGTTCGTTGGGACGAGTCAAACAGGGTCCGAAGCCGGAGATTGGCTGCGCCGTTAGGTCAAGGCGGTGGTCGTGAACGATGGCACAGAGCCATGGCCAGAGGCACCGACACAACATCGAAAGCATCCTGAGCGCATTACGTCGCCTTACCCTGGACCAGGCCTCACTTTTAAAGCTCAGCGAGGGCCCATCCTGGGGCTTCCGTGAACTTTCTCTTGGAGCGGTTCCACCCGGCGAGACGGTCACATGCCTCAATCTGGGACGATGCATGCGTGAGGGTTTTTGGATGTGTTGCTGAAGGTTGAGCTGGTACTGGACCTGTGCTTCCTACCGGGTCATCTGGGCGATCACGTCGTCTCAGTATGGTCCCTCGTCGACAGCAGCGGGGAAGCTTTTGCTCCCCCAATGGTGGTGGAGGTTACGTTCTTCGGCCGCAAGATGCCAGTCAGGTTAGGTTTTGTTACACCTGGACCCGCGAGTATTAGGCGTGTTCGAGTCGTAGTCGTAGTGGGGGCATTCCACGCTGCCTTTTACGGCTCTTGGGCCTTTTGCACGTTGAGAAGAGTGTTACTTGAGCTGCAGGCGAACCTAGAGAACAGAGGGCAGCAGTATGGTCAGCTGCCTCTTCGTCACGTGTGTTGAACTGTACAGAGACAACGTGGCTTTACATGGTGCCTTGCACCAATTGTACAAACTGGAGACTGCCATCCTCTGAGTGCTTGCCTTTTCACTTGAAGCTCCACTCGCACTGACAGCTTGCGGAAGTGTTGAAGCGCAGAAAGCGGATGGATCCAGACTCCGCCGTTGAGATTCCTTCAGAAGCATTGATTCTGTCGTTTGGAGGAGTCCACTTGCCTGGACCTCGTCGTGCAGCCCTGAAACACCGCGTGCGATACGAGCCGACCCTGTGCCTCAGTCGCCGCAGAGCTCCGAGGTCTCCGGCCTCGCTGTGACAGCCTCGCTTCACGAACAAGACGTAGCCTGGATTTGCTTGGGGCTTCATTGGGGCCATAGCTGAGGCCACGAGAGCCCTGGTCCATTCTTCAGATATTGCCGAACGGAGCTCAGATCGCTGGGTTGCCGACACAGCAAGCAGTGCAGATATGACATGATGCCAAAGATGTGAGCTCTTGCTGCTTTCTGCATGGAACGCCGAAGCTCGTTCGAGCGTGAGGACACGACTTCAGTTTGGTGTTACGGAAAGAAGGCGGCGAGTTGTCGAGCCCTGAGATCTGTGCAGTGACAGCTGTCTGCCTTGCACCGAGACATAAACTCAGGCTCTGAAGCTGCCAGACAGTGATGAGGCTTCTGAAGATTCCGTTGCACAAGCCCTACTCGATGAATTCAATCATTGAGCATTGTGTGTAGGCTGCGTGCAGTGCAAAGATTTCAAAGATGAAGCTGCGGCATTTGGTGAGGTTACCTTCGTACCATGCCAAGAACTTCAAGTCGGAGAGGGACCTGCCAGACAGGCTGCGGAGACTCTTCAACGCGACTTCCTGCCGAGTCAACTCAAACAGGCTTCCCGCAGCATCGGGCGATCTTCAGTGCAGCTCTTACGCAGCCTTGCAGGGCAGGGACGAGTGAAACTGTTCATACAGCTGCAGGCGCTTTCACGAAGCTCTTCAATCGAGAGCCCCACGCATGACGAACTTGGAGACACCTCCGGCACCGCGCAGATCTGTGCGACTGAGGTGCAGGCAAGGCAACTTCCCAATTTGTCGGTGGTCATGTCGGTGATCAGCACAGTTGCTGTGGTGTCAATCTGAGGGTGCAGACTTCGTCCTTTGCCTTCATTTCCGAGACCTTAGCGGCGGATCAGAAAGTTTTGGTGCCCTCGCCAGGTTTCTCTGCTGTTGTCGAGACAGGTTTATCAGGAGGGATCCGCTTCCGTGACATTGCACTGCAGCTTGACATCCGCCCTCGATGTTGATGGGAATGTTTCTGTGGTTCAAACCTATCGACTCTTACACAGTCGTTAATGGAGGAGTAGAGGCTGTAACGAGACCTGTCATTCTTGCACGTCTGCCTCCTACACCGGCTTGTCTTTTGATCGGTTCAGAAGTTGTGCGGCATGCAGATGTGACCGAGTCTTTCTCTGTTTTTTCATAGTGTTGGGGTGAAGCGGTGCCCAGTTAGGTTGATCGGCAATCTTCCGTGGCAGCATGCGGGGCTTTGTTCCAACTGCAACTGCATGTGGAGTCTGGACATGGGAAAGTGGCTGGCCAAAGGCTGGTCAGTCTTCGTTCGCAAAACTGCGGAGTTGCATCCATTGCAGTTCTGGAGTCCTACGAGTTTCTTGCGTGGCATATTGGCTGTACGTTGATTTGCCTATGCCAGGCCTCAGTGGAGACTATGTGCGGTCTGATCAGCTTTATGGAGATCGACCCGTTTTCATCAAGGAGCCTCAGCTGAGAGTTGCCTGGTCGACTTGAGTCTGCGTTCTTCGTTGCTATGTCGTTCAACAGGCTCCACTGCGACATCGACAAGGCACGAAGGGCTGGAAGAACTGCCCATCTTCTGAGATTGCAAGCATTTGCAGGCCTGGAAAGGCACGTGGACTCAGACACACTCATATCATATCGCAAGGCTTAGCTCAGCAGCAAACCGTTCAAAACGGAAGCTCTGGTCCTGGAAGGGGCGGAGTTCCAGCAAAACAGAATCAGAAAGGACTGGCTTGGCCAGGGGTGCTGGCTTGCAGGTCTGAAAAACCGCCGTGACAAGCCAAACTCTTTGAACACTGGAACCCCAGAGCCCACACGGAATTGTAGATTTGCGTCTATTCATACTGTGTCCGTCCAGCTTGGTTTCTCCCGAAACCGACAATCATAACTTGTCCATGTGCTTGAGTTGGCGCCTCGTGTGGTTCAATTCATACTGACAGTCGCTTCATAGCGATGCCTCGCGATTGCCTGTATCGCCTTTTTCTCTAAGACACGTTGTCTTTCCGCATTGCTAGCAGTTAGTAGGTGTAGTAGTGGTAGCAGTAGTAGCAGTAGCAGTAGTGGTGGTAGTAGTAGTAGTAGTAGCAGCAGTAGTAGTACTAGCAGTAGAAGTAGCAGTAGTAGTACAGCAGAGGTAGTAGTAGTGGTAGTGGTAGTGGTGGTCGTGGTGCCGCAACGGCGAAACTTCCCTTGCGTCCCTGGAAGAAGCACTCCAAGGCTTTGGATCCGAGCTCCCACCGACTCCCACCCAAGAGGTTGAAAGCTGCGACTGCTAAACACGGAACCCCAACATTCAGCCCTGTAAATCCATCGCACGCATTTATGACGCCCCTTTGTTCACGTGGAGATCGTGGAGTTTTCACATGAAGGACTCTCTGTCAAGGTGCTTGGACTAGGGACTGTGCAGACTCTGCAGCGTACTTTTTTCAACTTGGAGAGGTTTCGTCAACTGACATTCAGGTGGCTTCGAGTCGGACGAAAAGCCGAGCCAGGCATTGTGCTCGCCATGCGTGCTTCATGTCTGGCTGACTACATGTTTGGGCAGAGGGGCTCGAGCGGACCCTGTTCTTCTTCTATGATGACATTCGCCATCGGTGGCAGGCAAGTCCGTGCGTCGAAGTATCCTAGACCTGTGCAGCGATGTACGCCGAAGCAGAAGCAGATGGCAGGTTGCTCCAGAAGTGGGTGCCAAGGGCTTGAGCGTGCTTGCCCGCAGCCCCGTGGGCTGGGATGAGGCGGGAGCCAACACTTCAATGGCTTCAGTGGCCTTCGCCGTTCCTTGAATGTTTTGCAGGTCTTCTCCCCGAACGGAGCAGAGGCTGCTTTGATCAGGGCTGGGACACCTACAACGAGACTGAGCTTTTCAGACCTTTCGAAGCTCACTGTCACTGAGGAAGTCGACCCTCCCAGGCCATCGGGCTGCTGGCAGATCCGGGTTACCTTCTTACTATTGCGGCGAGCTAGCCATGCCATGCCATCCACATCCACGGTTTCTGGCAAGTCGCCGTGTCACTAAGCTCAACGAGCCTGCCCTGGCCATCCACTCGAGACGTTCCAAGCAAATGACGGAGATCCCGCAAGAGGCCCCCCGCATCCCCCCACCCGCAAGCTTGGCGAGCTTGAAGATGCCACACGCGATGCTCTCACGACAGGCATCACAGCTCTTTCAGGACTGCGAGGCTCTCTCTGTCCCATCCTCGAAGCTGGGCCCGTGCCAAAACGTGCCGAAGTGGCATCATCCCATGGCTCGTTTGCTAAGGTTCTTACACTGGAAGACCGTGCACCCGCACGCACAGTCAGCTTCCAGTATGAAGGCATCAACCGCAGCTCTTGCCGCTGGCAAGACACTCGGTGTATGTATGTGTGTGTGTGTGTGTGCCTGTGACAGGGCCAGGTGAAGAGCTCCAGGCAGGGGATTCATACAAGTCGCAAGAGTTGGATTCACCGCCTTACCAACTGACCAATGTTTTGTTTGCGGCAGGTGCTTGCAGAGCATCCGCTGGCCGGAGATTTCAGATTGTTCAGCCCTTGGCCTTTCAGGGGCACCGTATTTTCAACCGTAATTTACATGTTTCTGTTTCTGTTGGGTGTGTTCCTAACGTGGATGCGCACATGGTGTAAGTCGCCACCTTCCAGAAGCGATCATGAACCTTGATCATTGCATGTTGCACAAAAGCACACTGGGGTGGAAAGGCATGCCTTCGCGAAAGCTTCATGCTGGCCTGGAGTGAGTACGTCTGGTTGTCGCATCTTTCTACATAACCCTGCTTATCCCTGCTTGCAGACCAATGCAGGCGCGTTAAGCGCCAGCTAGATCGCCTTCGCTTTGTTGCTCCATAGCCTCTGTCTGACACTGGAAACATGCTTCTCTTGTTGAGTGCGAGCTGCTAGCACTTTGCCAGGGAGCCCAATCTGTTGTTTATGTGGGCAGTGGGCATGGTGTCTTGGGATGGTACGTCGGGTCAGAATATGGTACCACAGTGCATAATCAGGTTCAGATATGTCGCAGCCAACCCAAACTTCCGCGCAGGTCCCAAGAAAGTTCATTGCAAATGAAGTATTTCTGTTTAGACGAGCGTCGTGGAAGATTAGCGTCTGCAGTGATATCTGATAGTCCGCCTCCTTCCCAAACTTCCCGAATCCACGCCACCACCGGCGGGTCCTGTTGAAGACGGCTGTGAGCTTCATCTCGTCGTTTGTCCGGCCCGACAGAGGTTCTCGCAAGTTGTGCAAGGGTAAGGTCAGGTTTGGAATTCAGGGGCACCTTTTCTCCTTCCTGTGCCAATTTCGCTCTGTGATCTCCAAGTGTTGTCCTTGAGTCGAAGGCTGTGTGGGAACTCCTTTAGCCAGTGATGGTCCGACGTGCTGATGGCACATCCACATGGGGACAGACGCAGCGACGTGCTTTGGGTGTCATTTGTCCGCCCCCTGCATTCGTTGGCACATGAGATCAGCATTCATCACACTTCCTGAATCTTCAGCATTCTGCTTACTTTACGATGCTTTACTTCAGAAAGCAGCAAGCAGAAAGTAACACGCCCTGAGGCTGCGACAGAGATACGGAAAGCGTCCTGCATGCCCGGCAAGTATTCTTGAAAATGTGGTCTGTCACTTGCACAGACATTCGTGGAAGTACGACAGGTATATCGCCGCTCCGCTTTGCAGCCTTGTGGACCTGGGCCGAAGCCTTGCTGGAAGAACAGAAGAGAGAGGGGAAGTTGCTGTTGAGGAAGTCCTTTTACAGGATATCTGGATATCTGTCAATCTGATAGCGCAGCTGAGCTTTCGTAGGGCGAGCGCTGTGCCGCGAGGACAGTCTGATGCGGTCATTGCTCTGTCGAGCCTTCACTCAGAACTGTACTTGGTGAGCGTGTCTGAAGCACCCTTAGGCCAGGCTTGCCTGTCCAGCGCCGCACCAAGAAGTTCAGGAAGGGAGTCGATCTGTTTGAGTCGTTTTGGAAGGGTTGTCAGATCGGGTGAACGAGGCCCGGCTTGTTTCTTTTCTTCGAACCACGGCTTGGATACTGGGTTGCCGGCTTCTCAGAAAGGCTCCAGCGGCTCTCAGCAGCGAGTGTAGCAGCGAGTCGTCTGTAAGGTCAGCACAATTTCGCCACTGGCTTCAAATCATGCTGTCGCGCACAAGCCTCAGCAGCCGTTTAGGTCGAGCCTTGTCACGACCCGCTGCAGGGACTTCTTTCGATGCGACGCGTCAGGTTTGCCAGACCAGACCTGCCAGGTCGATTTGGACAGGCGAGGGGGGCTCTGAGGTGTTTGCAGCGCAGCCGAGCCGCGTGCGCTCCGCTTGCGCTCCGCTTTTCCTCCCCTTGCGCTCCGCTCCAGGTCCTGGCCAGGACCGGGCCTGACTGGACGCCCGTGCTGCCGCAGGACACATTTACGTCGTTACGTGCTTGCCACAGTCACCAGCTTGGATGTAGGCTTTCTTGCATTCTAACACGTCAGTGTCGCAAGGACGCACGGGACTGGGACGCAGCTGACAGCCAGGCAAGGCTGATGTGGCAGCGAATCCGTCCATACTGCATGCTTGATTCAAGCTTAGGTTCGGCCGCCATCAGCCATGGGGAACAGTATCAGACCCTGCCACAAACTTCGGCCAACCTGAAAGGACCCGGGTTCCCACTATCGGCTTGGGCCGGCAAGAGCGCCGGACTCAAGACGCTTTCAAGATTCTTTCAGGCGGTTTCGCACCGGCAGCTCTGTTTCACACGATCTTCTCAAGGCACCACCCAGCACACTGCTGTCGGAGCACCTGACGCACGTCTGGCCGGTTTACTTTTCTTGCACTGAGTCATGGTATGATCGAGAGGAGCTTGGAGAACACGCCAGGCCAACTCCGTGGCTGCACTTGGTAGCCCTGGGCACCGACACGCCTCCCAAGATGGTGTGCCTCAGCGGCTTCGGTGACAGGTACCGGATTGGCGCTTCACGGCACAGATGCTTTTTCACAGCACTCTGGACAGGTTGCATACTCTGAATGGCTCCTATGAGCTGCTCCCAGAGTCCGCGCCATGAGCTGAGTTTGCAGCCGTCCCTTTGCTTCATTGCTTTCACTTCTCTTGGCACGTGGCACTGCATGGTATTTGGTGCATCCGATTGAGGTGGGCATCCAGAGCTGCATGGGCACGAGTGCAGGGAGCCTGACCATCGTGTCTGCAGGGAACAGCTGGCATCCGTGAGTCCTGCCTGACTCGAGGCCGTCCACGGCGGAGGCACTGGTCGATCTGATTTCGCTGCTAACTGTTCTGGATGTCCGTCCCGACATCAGGATGTAGAGTATCCCAAGTACATCTTCTTTTGGCCAGAGCAGCTCGAACGCGTTTCTCCGGAGACTGTGAAGCAGAGAGCAAGTGCAGAGTGCAGCCAAGGACGGGTCATTGGATTATCGGTCCGGACTTGCACACAGCGCAGACAGGCCGGGATGGCCGCGACGGTCGGAAGACGGCCGGAAGAGTCGGAACCCGTCCTTGGCCTGACAGGTCTTGCACGAAATGGGCCAGGCCGATGGGCTGCTCAGTCTCCTGACCACTGTCCAGGCAAGAAAGAGAGATGCCGGGATTTAGGTGTGTTTGCCTACATTGCATACCTCAGTCGGATTTCGTCAGCACGGTTCGAGTTGCGGTGGGAATGCTAAGCCGTTGGGCCGCTGCTGGTTCACGCTGGTGCATTGATTACAGTGTTCAATCCTGCGTCAGAAGTCACGCGACAACAGGCTTGCTTGTTGAGATTTCGACGTGGTTTATTCTGCTGATCACACGATTGTGTTCTTCATAGAATGAGAGATCCCAACGAACCTTTACGTCACCGAGAAGGCTTCACAGCAACATGGGCTCGTTTTGAGTAGAGACAAGTGGCTCGTATGAGGGCGTCATACAATTTCAAGATGACACGTCCTGATCCGGAGAACATACAGCTACTTACCTTGAAGACAAAAGTTAACTCGGAAGTCAGGTCTCTTACCAAGATATAGAACAAGCTACAAGAGGTAAGACACACTTGGATCAAATTAAACCTGCATCGGAAAGCAACACAGACCATCAAGACATGGAAACTAACTCTATGTGATGGCAGTTATCCGTAGCAAGCTCTTTACGGTTTGGAAACAACTCACCTGATTATTCCCACAGCCACACTGTTCAGATGAGGGTTGCTCGCAAGATGTTAAACAAAGCTACCCCATGTGTAGACAGACCATACGAGCAAAAAGGGAAGAAACATCTCTTATAGTTATAGCCTATCTAAGCAGCGGCGACCAACGAAAGATACTGTTATTTAGTGGATTCCGCAGAGACGATGTGCAAAGCTTTTCGGCAAGCAAGTCCATGTTGAAGTTCGGATCCATTAAGACAGGCATCATGTTTACTTGACCGTGCATCTACAGTGGGATTTAGCATGGCGAGAAGCGAGTTGGGAATCACAACACCAACAAGTTTGTTTGGGAAGAGACACTTGGAATAACAAAAACCACAGTTGTAAAATCGTTTGCAGGGCGTCAGCCCTTTTTTTGCTGCGTGCCATGTTTCCTTTCTGACATGCCATCGATACACGGTATGGCTTCGGAAGCTGTCGACGTGTTGTAAGATAGTTGTCCCGAAAAGGCCGATGGGCTGCCCTGAATGGTCAGCCAGTCAGCTTCCACACGAACGACGGTTGGAGAGCCGAGTGACTTGAAGCAGTTGCTCGTGTACTGAGGACATTCGTTTGCAGAAGACCCGAAGATCTTTTGTCGCAGGCAGAAGGCGTTCGGATCCCACTCTGAGCAAGCATGTCTGGCACCAGAACCAGAGATGGAAGGCAAGCGGTGGAGTCGAAACCTTCGGCTTGTCCTGCATGGCCCTCTAGCTTGCCCATGGGCCGAGCAGCGAGAAAGCTAGACTGAGAGATGAACTGAGGTCCCTCTTCTCCGCGGCAAAGCACCAGCCTCGGCAGATCCTGGACGCAAGAGGGCTTCTGAGGTGAGAGACGGCCCGGTAGCCCGCAGGGCCTGCAGTCTCAGGCCTGGGACCGCGTGCAAAAGCATTGCCGCTGTCCCCGAGAAGCACTCATAGGACACAGATTGACATGCAGCCTTTAAGTGCGATTCTGATGGTCTGCGTATGTTTCGCGCATGCATTGATCGCGAGATGGACGGATTGCTCTCGTTTTCCTGATCCAAACAGTGTGGCTCCGGCTAAATGGGTAGGCGCTCCAGACATGTCGGCTTTGCAAAACTGACGACATTCGTTGGACGGACCTGACAAGTTTCCTTCATCTGAAACAAAGAGCTGCGCACCAAACTGAATTGGGGACTGGGGGTCCGAAGTACATCACTCCGTGTTTAAGGCTTCTGGGCCTTCGGATCGTCGGCACGTCTCTCGTTGCCGAGTCGTGCGAGGCTTCGTTTGGGTGGCAATGCACCTCCTTGGGCTCGTCGTTATGGATGCCTCATAGCTAGCACCCTTACGGAGATCTGTGGCAGTTTACGCCTCGCAGATCTGCCGAAGCTTGTCGCGGCACAACATACAGTAGGACAGTTCCATGCGCGCTTAGGCTGGATTCGTCGAAGTCATGTTCGCACCATGAAGTTGCTTGGTCTCAGCCTCTCGAGACTGGTAGCTACCAGACCATGGGCCACGAGTCTAGAACCAAACTGCACAAGTATGTCCAGCATGGTTTGTCCCACGACCCTGGGGATGGCTGATATTGGGTCAACGGTTGCCCGAAACCCCGACAAGCAGGAGCATACTCTCTCCAGCTTCGGAGGCGTGGACTTTGTCATGACGACCAGTGGGTGAGAGAAGCAAGTAGTTCTTCTCGAAGCGAAACAGCAAAAACCAAGCTTCTGGCAAGACTGGAAGTTGCCCTCAACCTTTAAGAATGGGAAAAGGGCGTAAATGCACAGCAGGTATAGCAGCACTGCAGAAACGCGCGCGCAGAATTGGTAGGGGAGAAGCCGCGGTGCAGAGGTTTCGGGGGTTGAGACGGCTGACGACGGAAGCGAGCCCTCGTGACAATCCCAAAGTGACCCTGATAGCCTTAGACTCTCGGGCTGATGGCATGGTGGATGAGAGATACAGTGGCTTTGGCAGAGCGTGTCCGCAAGGCGAATTCGCCCAGCCCATCACGGAACCTGCCATCCGGCCCGCCAAAGAGCGCAGAACTGATGTCTGCTGTGTGCCCATCTCCTGCAACATTGACACACCTTGCCCATCTTCACCGGCTGTAAGGCGCGAGACGGTCTAGCGGAGCAATTTCCACTCCTACCCGCAAAGCAGGCACTAGCTAGCGGCATCTAGCGGCGCTAAACAGCCACTGAACAGGATGCTTCACAATTCGATTCCGGTGCAGTATGCAGGTATGGAACAGAAAGAAGAAGGCACAGGTCCACAAGTCATGCAGCAGAAGGAAGTCAGGCCGGGGTGCTGCCTTTTGTTCCAGAACCTTGAAGTGAAGTGCTCCGAGCGCATGCTGAGGATGGAGCTGTCCAAAGAAGGCAGCTTGGGTACAGCGCGCACCCAAAGCTTCAAGCCGCCCATAAGACCTACCAGCCCTCCAAGCCGGCGGGGAGCAAGCCCGTCACGAGCTACAAGCCCGGCACGTGCTGAAAGGGGCATTGTTTGGCGACCTTGAGCTCAATTCACTTGGATCGATTCCGCATGTCGGATCTCGTGGCCGAGCTCCATGTCAACCACAGCAAGCCGCAGCACAAAGTTGACACAAGTAGCAAATCTCACTCCAATCCTTGCGTTCGCTTGACATGCACGCTCGCATCATTGGGCACAAGTCTGCGGCTGAATGGGGCAAAGTGGCCTCACTCTCCCAAGGAACTTGGGAGGTTTCGGGCGATATCCCATTCCGCTGCGCTGCTTTTAAGCACCTGATTGCGAGTTGCCAATGCGCCACAATGCTTCCAAACGGACAAAAAGCCCGCTGATGTCCCGAGCGCAACTGCAGATTTGACGGGACGAACATGAAAGTCGCTTGCATTGGACAGGCAAACGCTCAAGATTGTTCACGCAGTCTGTCGTGGAGGCCTACGATGCTCCCCGCAGCCAGATGGTTCGAGCCACCAGACAAGAGCAGATAAACCGGGAAGCTTCTATGTAGAAGCCACACTGCCAGGGAATTGACAGGAAAAAAAGCAAAGTGAAGAGACCCTTTGAAGGCTCTCCTTCTCTCTTTTGATGGCCCCTTAGAGGGGTGCCTCCTTGGGGAGAGATGTTTGAGCCGGAGGAGCCGGAGAACGGCCCTTAAGCTGGGGGAACAGGGACTGTGCAAGAAGCGCTGTCCCAGCATTCTGTTTTACTAAGGAGCAAAAATGAGAGTAAGATGTGGTACTCGCAGCTGGTAGG